AAACTTCAGTCGCAGCTTCTTCGCCAACTTCTCCAATCCTTTCAACATCACCCACAATCTCTCTTCTTCTGGCTTCTGCTCTCCTACCACACATTCGATACCATCCTCGAGTCCAGCTGCGGCGCCTGATCGAGTACCTTGACGGAAAGCAATCTCTCCGCACCTCCTCTCCCGATCGCAGTACGTCTTTGGCGCACCTCGACTCCCCGCCCTCGTCTGCATCACAGAAGATGCCGTCCTCCTCCTCGCTCCCTCCTGTCGCTGCGACGCAGATCAGCAGTACCAACGTCGTCGCCGCGAGTACCTCCCCGCCGACGGCCGCAGGCCCAAACCAACCTCCTCGCGGGCTTCTAGCTTTGCCCACCGAGATTCTCCTCACAATATTCGAATACGTACTGGTGGAGGAGGACAGGCTATCGCCAAGTTTAACAAGGTCTCGGAGGGCGGAGCCCATATTGCGGGCACACCCCCGCATCCTCTCAACACAGATTGCGCCTTCCAAGGCGAGAGTCCTCAAGCCAATGCTCGAGATCTTGAGTATAGGCTTGGTCGCAAAGCGGCTGCCTCCAATCGTGCGAGAGGCCTTCTTTGGAAAGAACCGCTTCGACTTGTCCTTCGGCCAGAAGTGGCTAAGCGGCGTCCATGCAGATCTCCAGACCCTCATCCACGACGTTGAGATATGCGTCTCGACCTTCGGCACGAGCCAGTTCCCGCGGTCAAGCGTTGACTTCTCCCAACATCAATTGAAGATTAGGAGACTACGCGTACTAATCTCTGCCCGCGCGTTCGAGCGGCACGTCTACGTCTACCACCCTAGACAACAAGGAGGACAGACACCTTGGGAGCAAGTTTTTCGCACTGCCCCTGAAGTTCGTGCTCTCAGCAAATTGCGTGGCGTTGGGGAAGTCACGGTCGACTTCAAATATCCTTCTAGGTTGCTGTTCACTCCGCCAGGTCCAGATTGGTTGTTGGCGCAGGCAATCTGGCTCAAGAATACCATGGAGCAGGATTAGGGGTGTGGAGACGCCAGTGTAGATTAGAACAATGCATGAGCTGCAGTCAGGCAGTATGTCCTCTTCCTGCATGATAGCCGTACGGCTGCAAAATGACGCCTCTGGATAACCAGAGACGTTCATCGTATTGCCCCGTGACTCAAGATTTCGCAAGTGATCTCCTTTCCCCGAATTGTTACTCGGAAAAGTCTGAGAACGACCCTGCTTGTGTCTGGAAGCTTCTGCCGAACGGTAGAGGCTCGGAAGCCGCCCCTCTCACCGTCACTTCCTCATTCCTCATCGAGCATTGCCTGGGTGACCGTTGGCTGACCACGCTAGCACGCTCAAAGTCTTGGCGCAAGCTCAAAAGGCACAACAACTCTGTCCCTCTTCCCCTCCTTAGCAACGACACTCTCACATCATCATCACAATGCGTTTTGCTCTCTCCCAGTCGGACGAGTTCCTCGCCCGCCACGACCTCGACCGCTCCATGCTTGAGAGCCTCGCTGAGAACGAGGAACGCTTCCTCGCCGACGCCCGTGAGAAAGCGAGAACCGCCCCCCGTATCAACGCGCTTGGTCTCGCCGCGCGCAAAGAGATGGTGGATCGAGAGCTGGCCGAATTCGGTCCTGCCGCGTTCCCCCCTTCTTCCTTCTTCGAGACCACCGGATCTCTACGTCCTCGCGTGCCGCCGCCCACTGGTCAACAGCCTGCTCCCCCGGCGCCTACATTGGGTGAGTGGGAGTACTATCAGGCTTGCGTGGTCAACGCGACCAATACGTACTGGTCGTATGGTGCCAAAACTGGTGTAAGTACTAACCCCTCTCGACATCACTTAGTGACTGACTAACATGTTGCAGTGCGTCAAGAACAGCGACGCCCTCAAGGATGCCAAGGAAGACGGCAAGCGCGTCTACACGAAGCAGCCGGACGGTCAGTTCCGCTGGGCGGCTTTCCAGCAGTGTAGCCCGAGCACAGTTGCGGGCTTCAAAGGACTACATCAGATGGTGCGAGCCGTCGGCGGCAACCCTGCGAACTTCGGTTCCAGGATTGAGATGGCCGAGTACGTCATCGCTCGGGAGGCACCTGTCAGTGTCGTCCAGGAGGAGGACGAGGGCGAGATCTACTCGGGTACCTTCCCGGTCCACTTGGGCCAGCCAGCGTCCCAGAAGTTCTGGGGTCTTGGACAGTTGGGCAACGGCACACTGACCATGGCGGCGACGACCCAGGGTGCGATGGAGGCGAAGTCCAAGGGTGCGATGGAGAAGCGGAGTGGATGAAGGGGTCTTGTGTGGTCTCCGGGTTGATAAGCATTTAGCGTCGGCGTTTGTGGTTGCTGGCCCTCGACAGAAGACATCTTGTCGATGCAGGAGCTGGCCGCTTGGTATCAGATAAACCAAGCAATATGAAGACATGTCCTCCCATTATCCTTCTTTAAAAACATGCCCATGAACCTTTTGTGATACAAGCCACTTCTGCTGTAGGTGTCTTTCTCGACCCTCCAGGTATCGACGTTGATGTATCATGACACCTGCCCGACGTGCGTCTAAATGCCCGCATCATATCTCATACCAATCCCTGAGAACACTGAAGTCGTCTACACCGACGGCATCGTCATGAGATAGCGCTCGGGCCTTGCATTTTGGCGTGGCAGTCTTGTTCGTCCAGTGCGTGTGCGTCTCACTTGTCTCGACAACCGCACCACGATCTGCGCGCCACCCACAACACACGAAACGATCGTCTGTATCCCCCGCTCTCTTTCTCAAATCATAAGCACAGTCGTTGAGCTCTTCACAGGCAAGGCGTCGTCGGCGCTGTGTACCGCACCTGTTGGCGCTCAGGCAGATCAGCACACCCCGCACTCGACTCCTGTACACGACAACTGTACCACCGCCTTTTCAACGGCCAGTAGAGATCTGCGACGCAGTCTCCCTCCTGCAGATTGATCGCCATCTCCACGTCGAGCCCGCCGACAACCCACGAGCCTCCGCCCAGTCGACGACGACCGCACCAGAGCCGCCGGCAGCACCCTGAACGCGCCCAGCACCTCAAGGCTCCCAGATCGAACGCGATGACGCCAGATACCGACAGAGAGGTCGCTTCCGCGTTCCAGTTCTTCTCCTCGAGACTGCCGGAGGAGATATTGATGCAGATCTTCAAGTACCACCGCGCCAACCACATCCAAGGTGTGCTTGTTTTGGACTACAACGGCTTTCCCATTCCCGAAAATCCCGCCTTCATTTCCCTGACAGCTTGCGAGGTACACTGGACTGAAGACAAAGGAAGCCAGAGCTACACCCCGCCGGTGGTCCGGCCCCTTGGCTTGGAGGTGGTGCGCAAGGTCTTGGGGATTCGCCGTGTCAACAAGCTCTTTGCGCGCTGCATGCTCGAAGTCTTCTACAAGAGCCCCATGGTGTTTCAGCACGGCCAGTCAAGTGAGCTTGGCATAAAGCCTATGTGGTTTCTCCCCTGCCAGATCGAACCCAAACTCATCGAGCGCGGCGCATCAATCAAAGTCGAATATCGCGACGAGTGGCGGCGCACGTATCTGGGACTCCCAGCAACGGACCATGAGGTTGGCATCGAGTGTACGACAACGGGTATAGACTTGGCTCTCAGCAGGGAGAAGCAAATGCCGACCATAAACGATGAAGATGCTGAGCTCTTGGCGATGGACCCCAACAGGATGTTTGTCCAAACACCCAATGGCCTTCTCATTCGGGGTATACAGTTCACTGGAGGTTATGAGGAGACATCGTGGTTTCTCCCCGAAATATGGAGCGAGGTAACGATCCAAACGTTCTTCGTCCTTCTCCAGCACCCAGATTGGAGCTCAACCGATATTCCTCCTGGCTCATCCTTCATTCTGTCCCTGAAATAGAGAGAGACCATGTCGGAGGAGGAGATATAGAGCACATGTGACGCGATGGTCTTCAGGGTACATAGACTTGGTATTTGGCAAAACTGACGGCAATGCAGCCGCTTGTAGGAGGCGTTGGTTACTGGACGCCGCACAGACATGTATAATGATATGCTGCAGCTCAGTCGGAAGAAGCGCTCTTGCACCAGTCTTATTTCCAGACCAATCGTGCGTGCGTGATGTAGAAGAAGCCAGGGGCCGGGTTGCAAGCCCGCTGTATGCAGGCTGTGTTGTCTTAATGATTCTGAAAACCCGTCGTCGTCGTCGTCGTCTGAACTTTGCAGTGACGTTCTAGCGTGGCGCTCTCAAGTTCGATGTTTGTCTACGTCCGTCTCTCACGACGACTTCCGCCTCCGAACTCTTGATAGCTTCACCACGCGACAGCCACCCACAACCACGTCCTCCTTTTCAGACACTGCGCCGACAGCTCTCTGCACGTAGATTGTGACCAGCACAAGTGCGACAAATTCGAGACGTCCATAAGCACCTCCGCGCTATCGGCCACCTCCGCGGCCTTGCCCGACCATCGCGATCTTAGCCACGACTAAAGACGACGACAGCCACGACAATAGCTCTTCTCATCGGCTCGCACACCTGCGCCGGGCTCGCGAAGATACCGGTAACGACAACGGCGTTGCCTGCAACTTCTGCGACTACCCCTCCTCGCCGACCCAGATCGAGGACGACTGCGACACCAGGCACACTCTCTTCGGACAGCGCTCCTGACGGCTCTCAAAGCACACTCAGGAACACATCGGACACCGAGAAGGTCACCCAGAAGAGCATCTGACGCCGGGTAGGCCACAGCAAACCTCCTTGTGTCCCGCCGCCAGGTTTCAAAGCCCAGGTCATCGTGACACCCGGCCATCTCCATCGCGAAGACAGCCACTAGGCAACTCGTACAGCATACGACCCTGTAACAGCTACAGCTCTGCTACTCTCCGGATCACCGAAGGGATTGACTGCTTGCGACTCCCACGCCACAGACGTCCGATCGTCAAGCACCCATCTCCCCGAGCCTGGTTGCTGCCCGTCCTTCGCGAACGAGACAGTTCAACAGCTTCCCCGGACTCAAGCCAAACGCAACGATGAGCAGCCTGCTGGAGTATGTTAGGCTCGCGGCTCGCGAGCGTGGTTCCAGACCCATGCCGCCCCGTAAGTCGTCTCCGGTCAAGACCGATATGTCGCTAACAGATCCAGCGTCTCATGTCGACCCGAACGAGCCGGACACCGCGACCCCGCACAAGCCTCCCCACCCTACTACAACAGCAGACGAACGCGTCTGGAGAGATGGGCAGCATGCGATGACCTACAACGCGTGGCTAGCGAACGAGAAAGAGTTGGATGACGCCTTCCGCATCTGGCGAGATACAGGCGATGGTAGACGCGAGGTCGCAGAAGTGTACAACCGCTTCCCAGGTTTGCGGCTTACGTCCATGGGCGCCGAGGACGTCTCCTGGTTCGTTAGGGAGATGTCCACCCCAGACACATACTTGCGTAAGACGTGGGATGCCGCCTCTAGCGATGAAAACACCAAGCCCGGGTTTACACTCGCGCAGCTCATGCTCTTGATGCTCTTGACGTCTCCTCAACGGTCGCTTGAGATTGACGCAATGTACCAGAAATCAGAAGAGCTCTTTCCTTTCTACCGAGAAGCACCATGGTGGGGCAAGCTATATGGACCCTTCGCTGTCGGCGGTCCTGGACTAACAGGCGACTACGACTGCCTTTTCCCCCACTGGGGTTATCTCGAAGGCAAGATCCCCGGCTGGCCTTCGCGTTCGGAGTGTGCCGCAAGCGGCATTGACAGCTTCTACACTCTTCCGCCTGGTGAAGAAAACTTGCTCACGACCGACCGCTATGGCAATGAGCCATTGCCATTGTACTGCGATGCACCGCCATACATCTCAGAAAGCCGCGTGTATGGAGGAATGATTGCGAAGGGTATATCCGATCTGCCACAAGAATTGCTGAACAAGATTATCAAGCATCTTGGCTTGTTCGAAGGCCCTGTCCTCATGGCGCTGGATCATACGCGTTTAGACGACCTTCCTAAAGCCTTCCGCTGCAGGTTCGTACTTCCAATCGATCGTATCCACATTAGGGGTGTCGGCAGGGTCTGGGACAAGGATGCTAGGCCCCACACGAGTATTCCTGAGATTCTCGGTCTTCGTAAGGTCTGCCGCGTATGGGGCGAGATGGTCCAGGACGTCTTCTTCCAGAACACCTTCGTGTTTCGGTACGACAACCATATGCCGATAGATTCAAGGTCTCAAAACGTGTGGGCCATATCCACGTCTGTAAGAGAGGACCGATACAACCTGGTAGACTTCAAGGTCCACTGCGAACCCAACTCAAAGAACAGATTAGCACAACGGTTCGAAATTGGCTTCGACTACGAAGAAGAAGTAATTCACCTCGGAGCCAGCCGCAATACAGGCAGGATGATCTTCGGTACCGACACTCCTTGCCACCAGACTTTCGTTAAGAAATGGATCAACAACCAGCTGTTCTTGGATGACGGGGGCCACTTGGCTGTGCGAGCCTTTCGTCTGAAATTCGATCCTGGCACCCATGGAAGAGAGCTTTCCAGGCAATGGCTCTCGGATATCTTCCAACACTTGCACAAGAGGGGCGTAAGCAGAAAGATCGACAGCAAGACCCTGTTGCTCGACTGGAATGCTCGAGCCCTGTGAACAGTCCGTCCGCGTGACCAAATTACAAGTCGTTCGTTCTGGAGTTGCGGCGCAGGTGCCCGAGTTCTCCCATGGCGATGAGTATGACCGCTGAAGCCGCCGGACTTGGGACCTGGCTATAAGTTCTTTACCCTCCTCCTCCTCCGCGGAAGTAAGAGGTGGATGATGCTCTGTCTAGTGCGGGTGGCAATTGCTGTCGGGGTAGAAAGCGCTACGTCGTTCACAATGGTAGTTGGGACGAACGTCGAACGTCGACGCGCGGTAAAGAGGAGGCAGGTGGTAACGTACGGGAATCCTTCGATGCGGCCTGAGGATTGTGTTCGGTCAGCAAGGTCGCCCCTTCATAGGGTGTGAGAGTGCCTACCCGGAGAGTCGTCCGCTTCATGACCAGCTCTATAGTACTGAAGCAGTCGAAGAGAACACCATCGAGCGTGGTTGAAGAGGCAGATGGAGAGGCAATTTGCAAGAGCAGGGTGTTTGGTCCGAGCATCGGGGAATTGGATCGCTCCGCTGGGACGTCACGGCAACGCCCAGGCTCCCATTATAGTGCAGCGCGTACTGCATGACCACTGAAGCAGTTCAAGGAGAGCTTTCTGAGACTGCGGCCCTGTGGTGCGCTGAGATTGCGGAGGTCGAGCGGAGGATAGTCGGCAATGAGGTCAAGTCTGCCTCATTTTCGAAGTCAAGCCCGCGAACAACGCCTCGACGATTCGAGTACCTGGAGAGCATTAAGAGGCGCGACAGCAAGCTCACTACAAGATTACTCGAGATCCTGGTCTCGATAGTAGCTGGCGAAGCCTTCTCCGCTCGAGCGTACAGAAGGCGGCCAGCCTATCCTGCCACTCGAGGTATGCGGGCAGAGCGGACATAGATGCGGTCCTCCAACTCTAGATGGCCTGGCTAAGTCTGCTCTGTCAGTATAGAAGGATTCGGAACGTTGAGTTGAGTTGAACAAGAACGAGTTGCTGTGGGTCGTGACACTGTGAACTTCAGATCGAGCCACGAGCAAAGCTTCAGCCCTTTCCGCACTAACGATCGACCGCCACCGTGACCACCGATCACAATTCAACCACCACATGCAAACCACCTCGCCCTATATCCCAATGGCATCGACAACAAGCTCAAACGACGGAAATGAGGGAATTCCTAGCCGCTCGCGTGGGCTCGTCCGCAACATTCTCCGTTTCTTTTCCTGCAAGTCGTCATACAGGTTGCCAACGCACCCGTATATGCAGAACGGAGCTGGAAGAGGACAGCCTAGTCGTTCAGGACCACACCAACAAGCCGACTACTGCAGCCTCCCCCGGGGACTACGTCGTCACCCCGCGCGCGCGTCTGAGCATCACCGCGAGGCCGTGAAGCATATGGGGGGCGTATAGATGCTAGCCATTGTGTGCGCCAGTGGAGCCTGGAGTCCGTGGCGTGTCTTCTCGACGCCAGATACTAGAAGAGGATGACGCGGAGACCATCAGGAGGTATCGAGAGCAAACATGGCAACAAACGAAACTAGTAGATGCAGACGACGGTGGAAGCATACGACACGAGAAACACGCGTAGGAAGCACAGAAAGAAGTTCAAAAGGAGATGTTGGGCGCGACATGTCGGAGTGTTCGCCATCCGACGCGAGATGAGATGAAGTTGGGAGGTTGGAGGCTATCTACCCCACAATAGCTCCCCATGACGCTAGACGCACCCCTGCCTCCGATGCAGGCCGACCGGGCCTCCGATGACTCGCCCAAAAAATACAAAGACACGCTCAACAAGCTGCACTTCTGGCACAACACCACAATGACGACGGTTCCCGACTACTCACGGCCAACGACGCCCGACAACGGTCCCAATGGCCTTGTCTCGCCCCGCACACCCAAGAACGGCCTCGCCCTGACCGAGTACAGCGCGAACCCGAGTCCGCCCTCGGAATCGACGTCTTCGCGCACCAACGATGTCATACCCGACGCCTTCCTCCTGCCCAACGGCTACCCCGACTATCTCCGCCTCATCCTCACCTCGCGCGTCTACGAAGTCGTGCAGGAAACGCCCCTCACCCACGCAACCAATCTCAGCAACAGGCTGGAATGCAATGTTCTGCTCAAGCGCGAGGATCTCCAGCCCGTCTTCAGCTTCAAGCTGCGCGGCGCATACAACAAGATGGCACATTTGGACCCCAAGGACAGATGGCGTGGTGTTGTCGCATGTAGCGCCGGAAACCATGCGCAGGGTGTGGCCTACTCTGCGCGCAAGCTCAAGATTCCCGCAACCATCGTCATGCCCTCAGGAACGCCCGACATCAAGCACAAGAACGTCTCACGGCTAGGCGGCTCAGTCATCCTACATGGAGCTGACTTCGACGCTGCAAAGGCAGAGGCTGCGCGATTGGAGAAGCTGCATGGGCTTGTGTCTATCCCGCCATTCGACGACCCGTATGTCATTGCTGGCCAGGGTACAGTTGGCATGGAGTTGCTGCGACAGACAAACCTGCAGGACCTCAAGGCCGTATTCTGCTGTGTGGGTGGCGGTGGACTCATCGCGGGTACCGGTGTATACATCAAGCGGATAGCACCGCACGTCAAGATCATAGGAGTGGAGCAGTACGACGCAAACGCAATGGTAGAATCGCTCAAAGCCGGAAAGCGCGTCTTCCTGAAGGACGTCGGACTCTTCGCTGACGGGGCTGCGGTCAAGACAGTGGGAGAGGAGACATTCAGGATATGTCAAGAGGTCGTCGATGAGGTGGTCCAGGTCACAACAGACGAGACATGTGCAGCCATCAAAGACATGTTCGAAGATACACGCTCCATTGTAGAGCCCGCAGGCGCGCTCGCCCTTGCAGGTCTGAAGAAGTGGGTGAGCCGGAACCCATCACCAGATCGCAACCGTGGTCTGGTCGCCATTGCCAGCGGCGCAAACATGAACTTTGACCGTCTCCGCTTCGTCGCCGAGCGCGCTGCCATCGGTGAAAACAAAGAAGCCATCCTCTCCGTCACTATCCCCGAACAACCTGGTTCATTTGCCAAGCTCGTTTCCGTCATCCACCCCATGGCAGTGACAGAGTTCAGCTACCGCTACTGTGGCCCTGATTCAGCTCAGATCCTCGTTGGTGTCGAACTCAAGGCGGCGACAAGGGCCCGCGATCTACCCGACCTCATCGAACGTCTCGCCGCTGAAGGCATGACTGCCGAGGACCTCTCGCAAGACGAGCTCGTAAAGTCGCATATTCGCTACTTGGTCGGAGGGCGCAGCAACGCCGCCGATGAGCACATGTACATGTTCGAATTCCCCGAGCGAGGAGGCGCGTTGTACAAGTTCCTGAACACATTGCAACCGGGAATGAACATCAGTCTCTTCCACTACAGAAACTACGGCGGTGACGTCGCGAAGATCTTGGCTGGCATACAGTGCAAAGAGGAGGACAGTAGCAAGTTGGCGAGCTTCTTGAAGGATATTGGATACCCGTATAAGGAGGTCACGGATAGCTCAAGCTACAAGATGTTCTTGAGGCAATGAGACGGACAGGACTGATGTAGGTCAAAAGCGACGTGTGTAAGGATAAGTGGTGGAACGATGATATGAAGGAACAAATGCAGATACCCCTTTCACTTTCTCACACTACTCACTCCCTCCCAAACTACGTGCATATTGTCCATCCCGAGACCACAACCTCACCAACCCCGACCCATTCACCAAGGCCAACCCCCCTCCGCCTTCAAGAACCCCCCACACTCCTCGTCTCTCTCTCCCTCCAAGATAGCAACCATGGGTTTCGCGCCCTCACTAGTAGGCTTGGCCCCATGCTCCGGTTTGTTCTGCGCATTTGTTAGCAAACGTCACCCCACATCAGCGAGGGAAGCCACGAAACGATCCAAACGTACCCTAGGCCCCAAGTTACTCTCCGTGAACCCCGGGCAGAAGCAAAACACCTTCCAACCCTGGGGTCCATACTCATAGTCCTGACACGCCGTAAGCATATTCAGCGCCGCTTTAGAACTGCGGTATGGCAACTGTCTCTCATATCAGCAAACATCCCACCCGTGCACCAAACCAACCCCACCAACACCAATCTTACCAAAACAGCCGATTGAAAGAGCGGGGGCCATACGTTTTTCATAGCCTGATGCGGATTCGTCCTATCACTCCTGAGCCCAATACTCCCGGCTCCACTCGACACATTCAGAATCCGCGGCGTCTTGCCCATCTGCGCGCTTTTCGCGAGGAGGGGAGCAAATGTTTCCACGATGATGGCTGGGCCCGTGGCGTTGGTTAGGAAGGCGGATGTCATGCGCGTGGCGAGGGAGGAGGAGGCGGGTGCTTCGCCGGTTATGGCGGCGTTGTTTACGAGGGCGTCGATGCTGGTGGGAACTTTGTGAGTATGATTTGAAGCAGTGGGGCTGGAGATGGAAATGGAAATAGGATGGGCGTAGACGTACCGACCATACTTCTCCTCCACCACGTCCTTCGCCTTGAGAATACTCGTCTCGTCGCTGACATCAATCTGCACCAATTCCACTTTGCCAGGCAATCCTTTTCCCTGGAGCTGTTTCACGGCCGCTTCACCCTTTTCGGCGGAGCGGCTGCCGAGGAGGACGAGGTATTTGGCGTTTTCGAGGAGTTGGGTGACGAGGGAGAAACCGATGCCGCCATTGGCTGGGATGATTTGTTAGTCGAGGCTTGAAAGGGGGTCTGTGGAGTGAACAAAAGAGGAGAAGAGGTGGGAAGAAGGTATGGAGTGGGAAGAAGGTATGGAGTGGGAAGAAGGTATGGAGTAGGAAGAAGGGAGTAGGGAGATGCTGCGTACCGCCGGTGATGAGAACGATGGTTTGGTCGGTGGAAGACATGTTGATGTTTCTTCGTTCAGTTACGGACTGTTTGATGTAAAGTTGATGTTTTCCTTCGTGCTGATGTGAGCTGAATGTATTCTTGTCGGCGGCTGTAGTGTTCTCTTTATATGTCTCATCCTCTGCCTCCGCCGTCTATCTCCACACCCAACCCTAAACTCTACGACACCAGGTAGCTTCCTTCACGGGCTCATGCTCCAGCTCCACTGCCACATGCTACCTGAAGCTAAGCAACCAAAAGTGCAATAAAACACTTGCACATTCTGTTGTAGTGCGCGGCTGGAGTACCGGAAGCATGCATTCCCCTTGACCGGACAGTAACAACACATCTACGTAGTGCAAAAGCCACGCAAATCAAACGCACATGCATCCAATGAGCACCTCTGATACTTTGATGAAAACCTACTATTTCCCCCGACCATCCGCTGCCGACCATCCAGCACGGTGGAGATAGTCGGCGGACGGGGATAAACGGAGTTAAAGACACGACCATGGAGTAAAGACGGCCATATACGAAGCAAGGTTAGACTGTGAGCACATCATTTAACCTCATCCGTTACGTGAAATGAAGCGTAGTTGATCTTCCTAATCCATCTATTGGCTATCTAAGTTGTGTGTTGATGTTGCAAGCCGAGGGCCGCTGTCGGCTGCGTGGTATCCTAATGATGCGAATTCCTCCTGACCCAAAAAGAAGAAACGCCGGCGCCTATTGCTGCGCCTTACCCAAGATTACAACGCCCGATCTGATGCAAATGTGGTAGCGAATGTAGGGGTGGTGTGTGGAAGGATATGTTGAATGAAGGCGATCAGAGCGACTGTGCAAGCTCACACCCTATCTTCAGCGAAATCCAATACCTCGCAATCGTCCTCGAAGAAACCCTCCTCGTCGCCGTCGATACCCTCCTTCTTCACGCGCCGACGTCGTGTGGTGACGACAACCTGCTCTACCTCCTCTTCGCCGTCTCGAAGAACAAGCTTGTTCTCGATCCTGGCGGCAACGCCCGTGATGTCATCCTCTCCAGAGTCATACGCCTGAGTGATTGGCGTGGAGATACGTGTTCCCTCTACGGTCTCACCAAAGAGCCATGGCGAGCTATCTTCGTGATGGAGATCGGAGATAAGTGCCGGTAACGAGGGCTGGTATTCGCTGCTACTCTCTTGAACCTCGGGTGCTTGTCTGGAGTAGACAAAACGCGTGACACGTTTGTCGGTGTAGAAGGGCTGGTAAGGAGGGTTCGTCTCAATCTCGGAGAAGCTGAGTGGTGCGAGGGATGGCACGGCAGGCTTTCGAGAAGGCAAGGCGCGAGGAAGCCAGTCACCATAGCAGTCAAGTGTTGGCTCTGGATCACCAGGTTGCGGGAACAGTTGCTCCGTGATCGAGGGTGGCAGCGCGGTATCCGGAATGGGAGCAAGCCCGAACTCCACTGTCTTCTTCTTGGTTATGGATGCAGTGTGCGATGATTTTCCCTTGCCTGTCGCAGCTCTCATCTGCACCCTCCAGATCTGAAGTACACCGCCGGATGCTAGTGCGATCGAACCTCGACCTCTACCAGAAAGCCAGCGTACGCTGTAAGGCTTGATACCGCTAGGCGATGACGGAAGTGTCATCTTATTGTCGCCGGCATGCCGGATGTTGTTGATTGACTTGCCTACATTGGCAGCGACGGCTTTGCCGGACTTTGCGCCAGCGGCAGGGGTTACACCCAAGCCACTGAGACTGAATCGAGTTCCGCCGACGCTGTTCTTTGCGCGAACAGCATCAAACCAAGGCCTAGCGCTATTGACAGCTTGCATTGCTGAGTTCATCACACCAGCGGGACCTGTGGGGGACGCGACATCCTTTGGTGGGGCTGGTGCAGCTGGACGAATGCGCCGAGCTGGTGGCCATTGGAAGGCCGACGCAGGCATCGGGAACATGTGCACTGTTCCCTTGTCCGTGATGACAGCCAGTTTGTCGACTCGAGGGGCAGACCAAACAACATCGATGACGTTCGCAACAGTCATTCTGGTGAAGCGAGCGACTTGTCGTACGTAAGGTCCTGTTGGCTGTTCCCTTAACGTCTTACGTGCTCTTCGGAAGTTCATGCGCTTCAGGTCCCAAACATCTTGATAGTCGCCCTTCTTGCTCACAGTCATGAGCATAAGACCACTAGGAGCGAACGACATGAAGCTGCAACCGAGAGCCGCGGGTATAGTGGCGACCGGATGAAGTGCGTTCTTATTCCTCGTTTCCTCTGCGTCTACCAGTCTCTGCAGATCATAGACGGAGATCACAGATGCCTCTTGTCTTGGCTGAGTCTGGTTGTGGCCATGGGTCGGCGGGAAGTAATGCTGCATGGGATCTTGACCATATGGCACGTTAGCTCCTTGCTGGCCCTTGTTCATGTAGCTCTTGAAAGCCTGCATTCCCTTCTCGGTGGCCCAACGTGCACCCTTAATTGCAACTTGTGTTCCCTCCCTGGTAAGTCTATCGATCAAGCCTGCTTCGTTGGGCACATCGACAGCGCAGTTGGGGGACGGCTGAGGCGGTACGCTGTGATGCCCAAGGCCCGGAGCGCGCTCGTAGTAAGGTGAAGTCAGGGCTACACCGTTGACAGGGTAGAGCGCGCTTGACGCTGGTGGGGTGACGGCGAGCCAACGATCGGAGAGCGAAAACACAGGCAAGCCATACTTCTCAGGAGGAATCTCGTCATGGCTGCCGTCAACGGCACTGGAACCGCTTGAATGTATGGCCCGTTCCCGATTCTGAACAGATGTCCACAGTTTACCGATGCAGCGGAATCGCTCTGCATACTCAGAATGACCTTCGTGGTAAGGCGCGAATACGAAGACTTCTCCACTTGCACCAGACGCCACGACAACAAACTTCCCCTTCGCATCAATGACGAAATCGCCTACTGGAGGTGGAGGCTGAAACATGGGGCTATCGATTGGGCTCGTGAGAGGTATCAGGGGAGTTCGATACAGGACGGCCATTCTCCGCTTCTCCTTCAGTGAGTAAACTTCGACCGTGGTCTGGTAACCACTGATTTGCCCCTCTTGATTTCCATGTCGTGAGGACGGCCTACTAGGTGACTCAGACGCCGAGTCGTCAGCCGCGGAGGATGCACCGCTTCCACTAGAGCTTCTGCTGTCTTTGACGACCGGACCGTGAAGAATGAGTGCAATCAGTGGACGGGAAGCAGCTAAGGGATCGTGCCGCGAGGTCCAAGGCAAGATCTTGGCGCCTATTACAGCGCCCCGAAGTCCTTCCAGTCGACCTACGATGTCCATCTTGCTCTTTTCAACGCGAAAGACGTCGAGTCCACCTTGCGACCCAACAAGCAGCACGTTCTCTGTCGACCGAGCTGCCTCGTCTCCTGCCATGGACAGAGTGTCGAAGCCACAGAAGTAGCCTCCCTCTCCTGGCTGGATGCCATCGGACTGGCCGTTGTTGAGGCCGAAGTCGATGTTTGGCAAGCCATAGTAGTGTGCTTGAGGTTGGTGCGGCAGGGGCGGGTTCGGCATGAATTGTTGCGAGGCTGGGCGAACACCTTGTTGCGAGTACACAGATGCTCTACGGTCTCTGCCGGGCGAGTTTTGTACGCGTCCACCAAAGTTCGTGTACTGATTGGGGTGGCTCAGGGGTCGTGCACCTGGAGGTGAGTTTGACATGGCCTGTGGTGCGTACAGTCCGTCTCGTGCACCAGGCGAGTTATGAAAGGTAGGCGGAGAGCTGGCTATAGCGATGCCACCATTACCCGGGGAGCCGGAGTTTGGAAAGAACGGGACTGACTTGGCCCACTCGTTGGTGTATTGTGCGGCCGTGTTTCGAGTGGCACCGATCGCCGATAGTAATGGAGACGTAGTGGCATGGTAGTTTGTGGGTGGGGACGTGGATGACAGACGTTTGGCTGACGAAGGTGACTTGGTTCTGTGACAGTCAGTCGTGTTTGAGGGCGAACAGGAGTCACCATCGCCCCTTCCATGTAGGGAAGGGAGGTCCTGCTTCACGTACATCTCTCTCGGGTATATGCGCGTAACCTTGCCGGCCGCTTTATTTCTTCTTCCCAACTCATTTCTCGACGTGTTGCGGCCGCGTGCTTGTGGCGTGTCCTGTACCTTGGTGCCCTTGCGCTGCTGCTTATGCAAGTAGGTGAGGTTGGAGACGGGCGTCGTATGCTCGGCGGCGTTGTCGGGCGATGAGCTCATATAACCTGCGGAAGAGCGTGTGGAAGGGTCTGTTGGAGCGCTAGCTCAGTCGTGAGGAAGTGGTAGGTGTCGTGGGCGCGAGCGAGGTTGTGGGGGTAGCGACGGATGAGGACGGCGGCGGGTGACTTGGGATGAATGCTAGACGGGCGTTGCGTCATGCGCCTCCGTGACCAGGACTCGTGAAGGTGGCGGGCGCGTGCTTGCACAGCAAGACACTTATACACAACAACACTGGTGCCTTGTTCCTGACTCGGCGCGTTATCGGGGCCTATCTTTGGTTGTCACTCGGTATCGTCGGGAGGGTCGTTGTGGCTGTTGTTTGAGCCGCGGGGCTGGAGCTTCACGCGGCACGCTAGATATGGGGCCCCTCAGCGCGTAATGCAGAGAAGTCTGGATGGGCGCGCAGAGGTGAGTCAAGATGGAGCTCTATCTAAGCTCCCAAGTGTTGAGATATGTATGCAGGGCGTCGTAAGTGCAGTTAGTTGTGTCGCTGGCCAGGTCGCGGTGCTGAGGGGCAGCTCATAGCTTATGCAGGTGCATGTCGCGCCCTCAGCCTTCCATTCGCCCACCACACCACGGCCGCCGGCACCGCCCTTTGCGCTGCTATCTAGCCCCTCTTTGGCCGACTCTAGTCATTCGCAGATTGCGCGCTGCTAGTGATGTCAAGTGACTGCAGCGAGCACGGTAGATGCCTGAGCAGGTTGTTGGGCAGCCACATGCGGCGTTCCGCGATGCATTCCGAGAGACTGGAGTGACGTCCTCCGCATGCATATCATGGCCCACATGCCGCGACACGTCCCGCGCCTTGCACGTGCTTCGAAGGTTACATCTCCAACCTCACTGTAATGATAGCCAGTATTCAGCGGTGAGCTTAGTCTCAGCGATGCACAGGGCCCGGGCCTCAAGTACATAGGCAGCGTCCGTTCGACTCCGTCGGATCCCGTCCCATCCACAATCACAGGCATTAAACTTATTGGTTTACATGCCCAGTAATCCGCCCAGGGGAGATTTGTCCCGAAGCTTATGAAGATTACCATTTTTGGAGCCGGCGACATTTATCCCAGGAGACACTCGCATCGTCTCCTAAGCGACGTGGCTAATGTAGCAATAAACCTCGGGTAGGCTCCGGTACAAAAGTATGCAGCTCCCAGGCTGAAAACCCTCAACCCATCCATCCAATATGTTCAAGTCCAAGTTCCTCACCCTCGTCTCCTTGGCGCTCCTCCCTGCGGCTCTCGCCCAGTCCGAATACACAAACCTCCCAGCCACAGCACCCGGCGTCTTCAATGCAACTGCACGCATAGAAATCAAATCCACCGTCCCCGCCGCCTGGGACGTACTCACCGACTTCGCCAACTACGCAGCCTGGAACCCGTTTGTGCGCTATGCCCTCACCACTTCAGCTAAGGGCAACATCACCCTGCCTGATCAGCGACCGGTCGAGGGCAACTTCCTCTTCTTCCGAGTGCAGATTCCTCCGCTTCCGCTGCCGGTGAACAAGGACACGCCCGACAATCTCCTGAACACGCAGTTGTCCGCTGAGCGCATAACTCATGTGCAGCCCGAGTTGGGAAGATTGGCATGGGATTACTTGGGGGAACTCGCTATTGCCTCGACGCGCTGGCAGGCGCTCAGCGACATAGGCAATGGCACGGTGTTGTATGAGTCGATAGAAGTGTTCCACGGGTTGTTTGCTGGAGTCTTGAAGGACACGCTTGGAGAGAGTCTGCAGCAGTCTTTCGAGGCACAGGCAGAGGGACTGAAGTTATACCTTGAGGGTTGCTAAGGCTGTAAAGTAGGAAACTACATCACCTCGTCTCTAACAATGCCGAACTCTTTGTAATACAGCATGTATGCAATTCCGATGATACGGCTGAATTGAGAGCCGGCACGATGCGCAGTCGGCATGGTTGAGATGAACCCGGCGGCGAATGAGCACTTCGGCGTTACAAGCAGGCATTCCGACCCCTGTCATCCGTTCCGCGGGCATGCGCGCATCTCCTCTGTCGCAATCGCACATGTACAGTACACGCCGCAACATCAGGCGCTCACCATGAGTACTTGTCTCAGCAACATGTCTCTATTTTCTGGCTGTCTATGATAGCACATGTTCTTTTGTCTTCCACTTGCTCCAACTACGCTTCGTCCATCGTTCCACAGTGAGCGCGCAAGCCAGACAATACTTATCGCACATGTGCAGCCCTCGCCTTCCAGCACCATGACAATGACCCCCGAGCTCGAAGCCTTTGCGCGAGCCATATCGCGCGTCCTGGGCTGGGCCTACTTCCTGTCGTGGTCAGTACCACCCACCCAACATCCCTCCTGCAGTCAGCCCCAACTGACCCAACCCCACAACAGGTCCCTATCCTTCTACCCCCAACCCATATCGAACTACCTGCGCAAATCCACACTCGGCCTCGCCATCGACTTCCCCACCCTCAACGTCCTCGGCTTCACCTGCTACACCATCTCCACAGCCTGCTTCCTCTATTCGCCGACGATAAAAGCGCAATATGCGGCACGTCATCCTGACGCGCCGGAGACGACGGTGCGGTTCAACGATTTCTTGTTCGCGGCACATGGAGCGGTCATGTGTGTGATTATATACAGTCAGTTCTTCGAGAGGATTTGGGGCTTCGAGATTGGGAAGAGGCAGAAGGTTAGTCGGGTTATACTGGGAGTTTGGTGGGGGTGCGTGCTTGCTATTGGGGTTGTGGTGGTGTTGGTTAAGATGAACGGGGCTGGGCGGGGATATGATGCTGAAGGGTGGGCGTGGATCGATGTTGTGAGTTCCTGCTTTACGACTTTCAAACGTCCTGGATGGTACTAATACGAAATAGATCTATACACTCGGCTACGTCAAACTCCTCACCGTCTTCCTCAAGTATATACCCCAGGCCTGGGTCAATTACAAGCGCAAGTCGACGTTAGGGTGGAGCATATACCCTATGCTCTTGGACTTTGCGGGTGGCTGGCTTTCGCTCGCACAGTTGTGCATCGATTCTGCACTGGAGAATGATTGGAGTGGTGTCACTGGTAATCCAGTCAAGTTTGGACTGGGTAACATTACTATCGTGTTTGATATCATTTTCATGCTGCAGCATTACGTGCTGTATCGGCATTCGGGCAAGCATATTGACGATGAGGATGAGGAGGAGAGAGAGGGGCTTGTACAGGGTCGGAGAGACTAGTAAACACATGTGCAAGGTTTCCTTGAATATCCGACTCATCATAGCTCACGAGTTCTGGTCTTCAATTACCTTGCATTGCTGTCATGATAGACACATGAGTGTCGCGGAAGTGTCATCAACGCGCCATTTCTGTACATCTCGACCACTTCCACGCGGGTCCCACTCCAAACGCAGCCACCACTCACGCACTCTTCCCCGTAAGCTTCTCACAAGCCTCCCTATACTTCGCCGCCGTCTTCTCCACAATGTCCTTCGGCACCTCAATGCCCTCCTTCCCCTTCAACCCTTCACCCGTGAGCCAATCCCTCAAAAACTGCTTGTCATAACTCGGCTGCGCCTTGCCCAGGTTCTTCTCCCACGACTCCTTAGGCCAGAAGCGCGAGCTATCCGGCGTCAACACCTCATCAACAAGCACCACCTCACCCATCTCATCAACGCCAAACTCAAACTTCGTGTCCGCAAGAATAATACCAACCTCCTCTGCGCGGTCTGCAGCAGCGCTGTAGATAGCAAGTGAAAGTTCCTCAACACGCTGCGCAATCTTTGCATCACCAATCATGTCTCGCGCTTTCTCAGGGCTGATGTTCTCGTCCTTGCCGCCTACTTCCGCCTTGGTGCTCGGTGTCCAGAGTGGTTCTGGCAGCTTCTGGCCTTCGACGAGTCCGGCGGGGAGTTTGATACCATTGACGGTTCCCGATTTGGTATATTCGGACCAGCCTGATCCGGTGATGTAGCCGCGAACTATGGACTCGATGGGGAGGATGCGCAGACGTCGGACTTGCATGCTGCGATCCTTGAGGGAAGTTTGGTCCTGGATTGTGGAAGGGAGATCTGAGGAGAGGAAATGGGTTTTTAGGCCGGGGACTTTGGTGGGTAGGTAGTTGAACCAGTATATTGACATGGCGGTTAGGAGGGCGCCTTTTCCGGGGATGCCCTGGGGTTTATTAGTCCGAGGTCTTGGATGTATTTCAATTACTATTGAAGTTTGGTGAAGTTGAACTTACATTCTCCATAATCACGTCATACGCGGATATACGGTCGCTCGCAACGAATAGTAGTGTGTCATCGTCAATGGCGTAGAGATCGCGCACTTTTCCAGAGGCAATCTTGGGCAGTTTGCCTTGGATGTCGATGGTGGTGACCGCTTGAGCCGACATTTTTTCCCGTGAGTTGATTTCTTGGTGTTGAGTTCGGGGAGTGACTGTGTTTGGTGGGGATTTATGCACGATCCCGCGTCGAGTATTTTATGCTTCAGCGGGGCCGCTGTGGCTTTCTCAAGGAAGGTGTGGCGGTGCTTGATCTAGGCTGCGATGGTTGCCTTGATACACGAGGCTCAGTTATTCACGATTAACACTGTAAGATTGAGCAATCATCATCGGAAACGCATGTAAACGATTTGAAGTTCGTTTAGAGTAGTCGTTTACTTCCATTGCTACGTGACTGCTACTCCGGCCTAATCGGTCATAAGCCCGGGCGTAGATCAATTCACGCCTTACTTCATTCGATCGCCTCGCCCCATCACTACACCTCACCCAACCACCTCTTCATCACTCTACGTCCTTGCAGCTAAACCAGATCATCTCTAATGTCGTCGGTTCAGTTCACAGCTCTGATACGTCTCCCGTTCATCCGGGGTGACTTTGAAGATCCTCCGCAGGTAAAGTAGCATCTGTCCGCGTCTCCGGGGCTCATCTGACCGCGACATAGGCACAATGGGATGCTGAGAGGGATCGCCAACTATGGAAGGTCATTTCCAAGTCTTCCAAGACCAGTGATTTGAACTGTAAGTATCTAGGACCCATTCCAAAACTATCTCAAGCAAGTACTAATCTATCGTAGGGGTCGAGTTGTATGTAAATGCAGGCTACGCACTGCATCAGCCTCACTGACCATACGACAGAGCCGACAAGTTCCAGGTTCCACCAACCTTCCTTCTTCAGCAAGCTGCATGGCTATATGAGCGACATCTAGATCACGTTCGTAACCAAATGAAGAAAGTCAGCATCTCGAATGCTGCTCCGTCATCTTCGCCGACTGGTGGTAGCACGCTGACTGCTGTGGGTGGCGTTGCGATGCGAAGGGGTGGCAGTGCCGGATCTGGAGGTATGTAAAACATCAGCATAATTTGATCTTACTGACAAAATGTAGCTGGGAGGACTACATCAGCGTTAGCAGGACGCTCGAAGGACAGTCCGAGTTTGCGTGGCGCAGAGGTGGTTATACCCGGTGAGTCTCTCGACAAGCATCTTAGATGCCACAGTAGATATGTTTTCTAACATATATTAGCACCTTCGCTCTCGAGGACACCGTCTACCACCACGATCACTCAATCCCGGGCACTTACTCAGGCTCCAGCTCGAACATTGTCGACACGCTCCACTCAGCGACCTAATTTGACGAGTAGAAGGTCTGAAGAGCGGGCTAATGCTCCAATCTCACCACCAAGTTATCGAAATCACGAAGCAGCTTCTCCCGACATTCCCGATTCGTCGTCCTCGAGCTCATCATCGTTGTCGGATACTGATCACCCAGCGCATCGAAGCCAACTCTTCAAGCGCCCGCCGCGTTTCCAGCAGAAGAAACCGCGAGAGCTTTCAACGTTTGAGGAAGGAGATGGAACCCAAGAGATTGACGATTCAGGCTCACACGAGACAAGTCTACCCTTTGCAACCGTCAAGACACGACCCATCAATAGCAAGTACGCGCAAGACTCACGCTTCCGAGCCAGTAGCAGCAAGGAGCAAAAGGTTCTGCAACCTGCCCGCGCAAGGAATGCTCCGCCTGTCAGACAAACGTCTATGGACGTACAGTCGATCGCGACCACAGAGACGGCGTCGTCAATGACTAGCTCTGGCGGACCTCCTTCAGCCGCAAAGAGCCCTATGAGCCCTGCCTCGGACCACCGCGCGGCGCTAGGCCGACTCGGTAGTCCACGACGTGGAGGACTGCGATCTAGAAAGGAAGGTAGTGAAGGCACGCCGAGTATGGGCAGTAGCTTCAGTGACATTGATGGTGAGTCCTGGGATTACCCACCTTTGGATTGATATACTCACATCGGACAGATGCAGGTATCAGTCAGTCAGCCCTGGAGGAAGCGCTGTTGAGCAACATGCAGCATGGGAGGATGAGTACACTTAGTCGCATGTCGAAGTGGTAGGTGTGACGGGAGCGATTTAGTACAGTTCTTCGGACGCGATGGATCTCTTTCACTTCTATTACGACCCTTATTGTGTGCCGCTCAAGTTTAATCTATTGTGCAAGGCGGCAAGTCTTGGCACTACTCTATCAGCTTCGATTGCTACTCGCCCTCCACAAATAACACTCTTTCTACTAACTTAAGTCAGCTCACATAGGTCTAGTTGCCGACGCGATGGCTTCTCGCTCGTTAAAGCCCATCGCAATGCCGCCGCCACCCATCATCATCCTAGTAACAGACCACTCTATAACACCCCCAATAGCCACACGCTACACATTCGGCCGCAACGACATCAACTTCCCCATCGCCTACAGGCGCATCAAATCCCTACTCACCCACCCATCATGTCCGCACCGCCCCCAATACCTCTGGCCCTGCGACGACTGCGAGTCCGCCTTCACCACGAAATACTGGACCTGCGCCGCCACGCTTCTCGACTATTTCGCCGACTTCCACCCCATCGACACGCCCCTCATGCAATCGATCTGGTTCTACCTCCTCGATATCTGGCAAGAAAGCGCGCATATCCTCCCCTACGAAACCGTACTTGATGAAACCATCGAACACAGCGCCGCACTCATCGGCGTGGCGCGCGCCAGAGACTTTGAGAAAGCAGTTCGTGACACCATTACTTTGTTCGAAGTCACGATCTGGGGCCGGAGAACAGAAGCGGATTCGTGGGACCAAGTTATCTATGACCCGAGGGGTGAGGCTATGTGTCCAGTGGGTGAGTACGACACGGGTCCTTGGGTCAGTGGAGTGAAGCCCTGGAACCAGTTTTTGGGAGAGGGAGGAATGGGTGTCGCAGCGCCGTGGTCTGCTGCTGCTTCAACTCCAACTTCACAAGACGACACAAACGGAGATGGAGATGGGAGTAGGAATGGGGAACAAGAGAGAACAACAACACGCTACATCCCCCACCCCGCCATCGCCCTAATAGAAGGCCACACCGCGCGCTCCCGCCTCCTCGCCAATTCCTTCTACACAAAACAAAAGCTCACACCCCCTCAATACAACGCCGCCCTCGCAGACTGGGAAGCACACACCGTCGTCCTTCCTTCCAAGCGCAGCGAGTTCCACACGTATACTTCGCGCTTCACAGGTCGGGAGACAACATACACGCTATCCAACGGCGCGCCGCCGATCATGCGCTACGAGGGGCTCGGCGATCCGCAGTTGGAACTTGCGGTTCCGGATGGAGATTGGAATTTGATGGATGAGTGTGTGGCTAGTTGTAGGGGGGTTACGGCGTATGTGGGTGTTAGTGGCGGGGATGAGGATGAGGAGGATGAGGATATGGTGGACAGTGAGGATGAGTTGGTGCCGTTTGATTTGTGGACTGTGGTTGAGAAGGCCGTTGAAGGAGGGGGACGTGGTGAGTTGTTGGATTTGGGAGACACTGGGGGCATGTTTGAAACTTGGTGGGAGGGGGAATGAGACTGGATGGGTGCGGCTTTTGTAAGCGTATTGTCCGAATACTTGTGTTTATATCGATCAACTCCACAAGATGGTCATTCCGAATATCGTTTTGGTTGAAGTATATTTGCTATATGTGCATATGTACAATACTAGCATCAACTCGCGCGCTATAGCAAAGGTATTATGTTCGTTCATTACAAAATCAAATCGTGGATATCGTCGCGTAAAAGATCAGTTTTCCTCCATGTGGTCCTTGATGGACCTCATCCACTTGGACCACTTCATCCTCGTACAATATCAGTTTATGGAGAGTAATCCCTGGGCTTGCGCTGGGACTCGGTATCCAAGAAGCTACCCCGGCTGCGGTTTGACTTGGTCGAGCGGCTTCGGCGCATGCTGGAAGAGCGGTCGCCGCCGAGACGGCCTCCGAGGCAGAACATGACGGTGGCGAGGAAGTAGCAGGCGACGGCGGCCCAGGTGAAACCCATGAGGTATTTGCCGATGCTAGCTTCGAAGCCAGCGGAGCGGAAGGCATCGCGGCCCTTGACTACCCATGCGCTGATGAATGTTAGTCGACGTACTGGAAGTTGGACATTGGCATAGACTTACGTCATGAGAGCTGCGGCGAGCGTCTGGAAGAAGAGAGCGACAAAGGTCATCAGGGAAGAGAGGTATCCTCCGAGACGGCTGCAGAGCGCAAGGAGACCGGAAACGAGGGCAATGGCAGCGAAGAAGAGAGCAATCAGGTAGAAAGCAAACATGAAGCGAGACAGGTAGTAGTACATGTGGGTACCGATGAACTGCTCGGGGATGTTCTCCTGGGTGCCAAAGTTCCTAGGAGGGTCGAATGGCAGCGCTGGGACAGGCGAGCCGCAGTTGGCATTGTTGCCAGAGTCAGGGTCGGCGCCGCAGATGGCGAAGAAGGTCCATCGCGATGGGTTTCGTGCGTTGGGGATGCCGCCGGTAGTGGCCTCGAGGAAGTAGAACTTGGTGAGAGGAGCCTTGTTGACGCCGCCGGTGAGGATGGTCAGGAATTGGAAGAGCAGGCCTCCAGCGACCAGGATCAGCGAGCCGAATGCGAGAAGAGGTCCTGGAAGGTGTGTTAGCAGATGCGCAAGCGAATTAGGAAGCGACGAGCAACGTACTAGCTACAGCCATCGTGTGTGGTACCCAAGAGAGTCGTCGTCGCAAGGGTGTAGGTTATTAAGATTAGGATGCACGATAATGGTGCGATTACAGAGGATGGTTCGACGTGGCTAGCTGCGTCTCAAACGCGCGACGAAAAGAGGCCTGGCAAGCTTGTTTATGAGGTGCGGCCAAGCGGGTGACGTAGTGCACCTGTGAATCGGCTCTTTGTTGGCGTCGTCGACTAGCTCCCTCATCGCACAGGGTTACGGCACTACCGCGCGCGCTTTGCATCATCCCGAGGCTGCTCGACACGCCCAAGCAACCAGAGGGTCCGCGGCTTGTCTGCAAACACGCTGGCGGATGCGACGGATCGTGACGGAGGGCTCTAATGTGTGTGCAAGTGCGTGATGTGTTCGGCACGTGAAGAGATGGGCGGAGAGATGCAGGGATGGCTTCCTTCCTCGGATAGTAGCGAGATCCGCAGTGTGAGCAGTGGATCCTGGCCATCGAGGAGCTCGGGCAGCCCGACACCAACAATCTGCCGCATCGTGCCTTGGAACTTGGAAGCCATCACCGCCATGTCGACTGCTGTGTGGCCGCCCATCGATGACGCCCGCCTCTCCCACGAGCAGGCAGAGTCGCAAGCGCGCGAGCTCGAGTGGCTGCTGGTGCAACTCCGCGAGACGCTGCAGTCGCTCAAGGCAGGCCTGGAGGAGTGCGCTGCCCTGCTTGCGCCGTCGGAGAATGGCTCGACACTTGTGCTGACTTCGGTGCGCTCCGAGAGTCTCAAGGGCCTCATTACTCGCGTTGGCACGCGCATCACCAAAGGCGTATGTCACTCACTCTCCGTCCCCATGCAGCAGCTCACACAGTGCAGAACGTCAAGCTCCGCCTCGCAAGCCTCCCACCGCCCAAGGGCTCGCTGACGTACGACCTCGCCATTTCCTCTGCACCGCATGCGCCGACGCTCGTTGTGCCCCAGCTCACCTCGATTCGGACCTCCATCAACAGCTGCCTCGACGTCATCGACGTGGCTACCTGGGGCGGCGATGCCACCAATGCCAACTTCGTATCCGGGCAACTGCAGCTGCTGCACGATCACATATTGGAAGCGCAAGCTGCACTGAAGGGCTACTCGGATGTCCAGCCGTCGTGGTGGGAGAACCCCGTCGACGACAAGGTAGGCTGCACCTGGATATCCAACCCGGGCACTGCTGACAATCACAGACATTCGACCCTCCACTACCAGCGAATGTGTCCTTCCACCTGTTCGTCTTCGATGCCGCCCTCGTTCTCGAAATCCGCACTCTCGAGCCACACAACGCCGGCGACAGCACATCGCTCACCGGCTTCAGCATCCGCAACACCTTTGCATCAGCACTTGGCGGGGCACGAGCACCTGCGCACGATGAGGCCGACCGCACGTTCAAGTACAAGGACCACGACGTCCGCGTGAAGGAGAAAATCCGAGTGGAGAGCCAGGACCCCGCTCTGATATCCGCATCGGCAAAGCTCAACGCCCTAGGACACAGTGTGATGTTGAGCCGAAAAGCGCTCAACATAGTCATGGGTCGAGACGAGCAGATGGACTAACTCCGCGCAAGTCTGACAGCAGTCAATTGCACCATCGACCATTGGGCGGAACAACCACTCATATTTCGCCTTTTTCCGCGGGAATGCCCTAGTGCGATCGCGCCATATCGGCTCGTCGCTATCGGAACAAATAATGTGCCACGCGCATTATCAACACCGCCGAAGAGTAACCGCATCGACGATTGCCTCTACTCATATTACTGCCCCTCCTTCGCGGAATCCGAAGTTGTTCAGATTTATCCTCTGCATACTTCATCATGGCGCCAGCACTTCTTACCGCGGTAGACGCCACATCCCACATCCACCTTATAGTCGGTTCCAATCCACTAGCAGGCGCGCGATGCGCACGATCAATAGAGGTTGGCGCGAAACCGATACTGCTCGCTCCCGAAGACTCCACACTTCACTATGGACTTGTCAAGAGAATTGAGGCGGGCGAAGTAAAGTGGCTAAAGCGGAGTTTCAAAGACGACGACTTGACTACGCTGGGACGAGAGGAGGTGGACAGCGTAGTAGACGCTGTATTTGTTACTGCGGGCGGAAAACATACATCAGGTACGTGACATGAGGGTATGTCTCGAATTCACTCTAATTCGCCACAGCAACCCACATCTCGAGTCTTTGCCGGAGACTACGTATACCAGTCAACGTCGCCGATGCGCCGAACCTCTGCTCATTCACGCTCCTCTCCACACACTCCGACGGCCCGCTACAGATCGGTATCACAACATCTGGAAAGGGATGCAAGCTCTCTGCAAGAATAAAGAGGGAGATTGCGGCGTCGCTTCCACCGCGGCTAGGTGAAGCAGTGGAGAGGTTAGGCACACTGCGGCGACGCATATGGGAAGAAGATCATGCGGCAGAATTGTCGCAAGACCTAGAGGCAGAAGAAGAAGACAGTGGGCAGCCAGCAACCTTCAATAAGCTGATCATGGAGGAGAGCAAGGAAGCTGCACGGGGACGTCGCATGCGCTGGCTGTCACAAATTTGCGAGTATTGGCCTCTGCGCCGTCTCGCCGGTATCACAGATGCAGATGTCGACATGCTGTTCCGCGAGTTCGCCAGCAGCAGCCCCTCCAAGGTCGGACCCACCGCCACCACAGCGGCACGACGACCAGGTCGTATCATATTGGCAGGCTCCGGTCCTGGCAACCCCGACCTCCTCACCCGCGCAGCACACAAAGCCATTCTCTCCGCCGACCTCATCCTCGCCGACAAGCTCGTCCCCGCACCCATCCTCGACCTCGTACCCCGCCGCGCAACCGTCCACATCGCACGAAAGTTCCCCGGAAATGCCGACAAAGCGCAAGAAGAGCTCCTTGAGCTAGGTCTGGAAGGCCTCAAGGCGGGCAAAGTAGTCGTGCGAATAAAGCAAGGCGACCCATACATCTACGGCCGCGGCGGCGAAGAATACGACTTCTTCCGCGCGCATGGCTTCATACCCAGCGTGCTGCCAGGTATCACCAGCGCCCTAAGCGCCCCCCTCTTCGCCGCCATACCCGCTACACATCGCGGCATCGCCGATCAAGTCCTCATCTGCACCGGCACCGGCCGCAAAGGCGCGCCCCTCGACCCACCCGAATTCGTAGCCTCCCGCACCCTCGTCCTCCTCATGTCTCTGCACCGTCTCTCCGCGCTAGTCGAAAGTCTAGTCGGCAAAGCATACCCCGCTGATCTACCCGTCGCCGTACTAGAACGTGCTTCTTGTCCTGATCAGAGAGTCATCAGGACAACGCTGGAACATGTTTGTGCGGCAGTTGAGGAGGAAGGCAGCAGACCGCCTGGCCTACTGGTCGTGGGTAACGCGTGCAAAGTGCTTATGAAGTATGAGCAGAAGTGGGTTGTGGAGGAGGGGTTCCATGGCTTGGATAATCTGGGTGGCGATGGCGAGTTGGAGATTAGTAGACTTACTGAGGCGGCTATTGCTGCGTAGGAAGTAGATGTGAAAGGAAATTCAAACTTGATACCACTGAAGAACGCTCTTGTTGAAATCGCCATTGACATATGCATTTCTTGTCTTCATCTCTCTATGCATTCATCGTTCTCGTAAATTACCAGGCTCAAATCTTGCCTTTCCGTATACACATCGTTGACCTCTGAGGAGGAAGACTCCGCTTCCTACAACCCCTCGTCTATATCCCTCTCATTATTACCATACTATACATTCCGTGAACTTCGTTCTATTCAATAAGTTCTTTGCGCCGTCGTGCCCAAATGCCGTGATACCCATGAATCCGTAATTCGGTTAAAGAAAATACCTCCAAACGCCGATGCTAAAAGTCGATTGTGTTGTGTTGTGCGAGACTCGTGAAATACGAGTATAAATGTGTGTGATCGTGAAATGCGTTTCGTTCGTCGTGTACGATCGTTGCTGCCAGAGTCTTAGACTTGACTCGTCCAGCTCTTCCTCTTGTTGTTGTTCTGCTCTTCCCAGATAACAAGCTCGCGACCACTCCTTTCTCCACCGCGATGTACGCGGTCGATGCCGAGATGCTCGAGACCATCACGTCCGACGTGGATACCGAAGCCATAACGAATCTTCTGTGGGTCGGTGTAGGAGTTGTGCTTCTCGTTCTTGCGTTCCTTCCTCGTCTTCTTGTCGCCTAGAGCGGGTTCGGCGGCTGGCTCGTTACGGAGGTTGTTGCGCGAAGGACGGACGAGCGAGAGGGCGGACCGCGCCCATGTGCGTTCCGCGTAGGTGCTTCCCATTAGCCTTGCGACGAGCTCGGGCTTTGTCTGGGGTCGGGAAAAGGCGCGGTCGGCGAGGATGGGGGATTGGTAGACCCAGCTGATTATCTCGGAGAGCGTGTTGCTGCGGTGGGGAAGGGCGGCTCGGCGACGGCCTGGGATGAGAGCGAGGAGGCTGACGCCGTAGAGGGCGAGGAAGAAGCAGAGTGCGTAGTATCCTGCGAGCTCCGCTGCGACACGGACCACGTCGTCGTTGCCGTAGTATTGCGTCCAGAAGCAGCCTCCAGCGAGGATGGGCAGAGTGCAGGATGTCAACGAGACAAAGGAGAGAACAGCTGTTTGCCAGTGTTTGTTCTCGAGTGCCGCCAAAGTGGCGGAGAAAGGTAGGCGGCAGGCATAGTCGACCAGAAGAGAAGCCTCAGCGGTAGCTCCGCCTTTGGAGGAGAGCGCCATGTAGGGCTGAAGGACCCGAAGAGAGTAATCCAGAGATAACAAAGCCAAGAAGAGGAAGTTGGCGATCAGAGCCGGAATGAAGGAGTAGAGGAAGTTTGACGCGGAGAAGCCGTCTGCGCCAGTGCGAGCGAAGACCTGGGGCAGGAATCCAAGGCGGACGGCGCTGTTGACAAAACTAACAACGAAGAAAGCGACCAGCAATACAGCGGCAATGACGATCCACGCAATGACCGAAGTGTCCTTCAGGTACCAGGGAAGAAATCGTAGTCGCACGCTGGGGTTGCGGATGTCGGTGC